ACATAGAGTGGGCTTTCTGATGAATTCTCTGTCTCATACACGGAGTTCTACAAACAGCTTTTTATGCATCACATCCTCATTAGCATCTTAAATCTACCCAGAGGAGTCTAAGGTATCATGGCTTCCTTCAAACATCCTGGAGTATCTCTGGCCTGTGCTAGGGTTCCAGTCAGTTCTCTTGGCCTTGGGAGGGGAGATTGCTCCAGACTTCCTCTTCACCATGGGCTTTCTCCACACACTGGTTTCAGTCCTGTGCGAGGCTGACTTACTCCCTGCTTGCTCTCCTGAAGTTCTTGGACCTCCTTAAATATATATGTCTAGTTATAAGAGAAAATAAGAATATTCACCTGGATATTTGCATTTTTGCTATTTGCTAGTGGAAATATAGGCTTGTACAGACCAAACTGACTTAGAAGCCATCTTAGAAGCTTAGCCATAGTGTATTTCTAGCTCAAGGATTGTTTTCAGAAACCCTGACCCCTTTCCTCCTTACCTCCCGGGAGAATGCTGCCATGGTCACTTGTTCTCTAGACATATAGAAAACAAAGTTATTATGATATGACTACCTGCTGATTCTGGCTTCTGTAACTTGCTTGTTTTGCTATTTTAGGGCACCTTGACATGTAGACTGAGATCACCCTCTGCCCTGTTATTCCAGGACCACCTGTCAACATTCCTTTTGTGGTTTTTAGCTTTAAAAGTTTCCCTTTCCCTCTCCCTCCCCACTGCAGCACTCTAATCAGATACCGTGACTGCAGTCCAAGCTAGCCTGAGTAAAATCTTTTATCTCCATCTGAATTGAGTCTGGTGGTCTCTCCTCAGTACTCCTGGGGTCCATAACAGGCTAATGTATAGATTCAGTGTGTACATAGATTCTATGCGAATACAACAGTAAAAATTCAGAATGGCATGGAAGTTTTGTGTTGTTTTAACATGCTCCTCCAAATGAAAATTTTGGTAGATTTACAAAGAAAGAGCTTTACATTTTCTGAGTAATATGATCTTTCTCAAAAGTTCCATGTAATCAAATGAAGCTATATATATGCAAACACTTAAGAACTACACATAAAGCTATGTTATACATAAAATAAAGTTGGCAGATAGCGAGTCAGATAATTACCAGGCTCAAAGTCATTGAGACTAGGCCCTCGTGATCCCTGGCATGTGAAACCAGCAACTGAAACTCCTGCAGGACAAATTGCTACAGGCCCTCTACCTGCTGCCTCTACTGAAACACACCAGGAGATACTAAAATGGAGTAAAGACTGTCCCTCTCAAAAAAAAAAAAAAATTCTGCATTTTCCAAAATGCTACAAAGGAGTGGAAGATTCCAGCACTCTGCAGTCTCTATTCCAGGACATGGAGAGCAGCACAGGCTTGATATATCCCTTCCTTCCAAATCTGCCTTGGCTCCTGCCTCCCGTGTCCCTGTTGAGACACTGAGGTCAGGAAGTGTAGAGTACTCTAATTGCCCCTCCCTACAATATGAAATGCCATTGCAATTTCCCAGACTCAAGATTTAAAAGACCAGATGAAAGAGTAGCTACAGAAAGACAAATAGGAGGGAGGTGGAGGTGTCAGGGCTGTGTTGAGGATCACCTCCAGGGCTAGAGAGATGGCTCAGTGCTTAAAAGCACTGGCTGCTCTTACAGAGGACCCAAATTCGATTCCCAGAACCCACATGGCTGCTAACAACTATCTGTAATACCAATTCCAAGGCATGTGATGCCTTCTTCTGACCACCTTGGCACTGCATGACATGGGTGCACTTAACATACATGGAGCCAATACACTCATACACATTAAAAAAAAAATTAAAAAGATCTCTTCCTAGGAAAGATGGCTATTTCTACATATTCTTTATTTTTCTAAGTGCATTAAGACAAAGTATAAAGCCTGCCTAAATATGTGGTCTGCAAGTCTCTCTGGCCACTGTCTTCTCCTGTCCTTGAAAGTGCTCTACAGTGGTCCCTTTGACCATTTATCTACAACAATACACTTAACTCTCAGTTCCCCATTTTTAAAGGCACTTT